AAACAAATATCGACAACTTTGGGGAAGAAGCAATTCTTTTTGAGTATCCGTCTGTGTCAATTCTTTCGCCGAGGGAACGACTTCGTCATAAAAGTGCCCTTGTACGGGGAGACCTCCAATGGATTGTAAGTCCCAAAGTGATATGGACATCTCTCCAATGAAAGTAGGAAGCGTATTGGTAGATGGGCGCCAAAGTTCACAAAAAGCATGGAGTACATTGTCGTCATAGTCGTACGTGAACAAAGAAGTATATACAGCGTCATAGACCTTGATGAGCTCCAAAATCTCCTTGTGGCGGGGCAGCACGTCCTCTACCCATTCCCATTAGCTAGGTGTGTAGGAAACATTGCCAAAGTTAGAAGAAGGAACACGCCAACTGCTGAAACTTCCATCAGAATGAGAAGATTTAGAAGATGCTGCGTCATGATGAATCGCGGATTTCAGTAAAAGAACTTTCATGCTACTAGCCTTGCTCGAGAAGTTTCTCATAACATCTTTGGTATCCATTTTTGACCATTCTTTAAGGAGAAGAGATTCATCATATGCTCCACTAACACGAGAGAAGACGCCGATAGCAGGAGGTTGAACTTCCAAAAGTAGAACTTTGGCATTCGGATTTTGTTGGTCGTCGCCCACTATTTCAAGAAGAGGATGCGGCGAATCTCGGTCGCGGAAGTGCATCATGTTGCGGGATCGGAGTCGTATTTCTCTATCAAATATCTGCGAAAAAAAAATTAAATAAAAGAAAAAGTTCAGTTTCGTATGAACATGTCCAAAATAAAGGTGGTAGCCTCAAAAAATTTTGCGGTTGGTGAAAGGCTGATTTCAAATAGAAAACTGAATCAACACAGCTGCAATCTAATCGTGGTTTTCGTATATGATGTAGCCCCCATGAATTTACTTTCCAACACCGCAAACCGCTTGTGATTTCGTTATTCCTACGCCAGATATGAATTTTTCCGCGAAGTCGCACAAAGCTGATGCGTTCAGTTTATCAGAATTTTAGGCTGAGTTCAAAAAATCACCTGAGTAAATCCGAGAGTTTTCTGATCGTGATTTTCGGATATATTTTAGCTCTATGAGTCTAATTTCTGGAAAATCAAACGGATCACGATTTCAATATCCCTACAATGAGATATAAATTTCCTACCAAAGTCGCGCTGAGCTAAAAAAGGGTGACGAAAATCAAAGTTGAGAGAGAAGGTCTCAATTGAACTTGACGATGCGGCAATGCAATATACAATCACCGGGTGAATGTGGGTATATATAGATTTCAAAATATGGAGACATCAATTTGATTCCTACAAATTATGGAAAATTATAATGATGGAAAGTTTAGTTCCTACAAATTATGGAAATTCCATAGAAACCAAATTATGACAAGTTTTTCATAAGAATCAAATTATGAAAATTTTCCAAAGAAGTCGAGTTATGTAAATCTCATAGAAACCAAATTATGACAAGTTTTTCATAAGAATCAAATTATGAAAATTTTCCAAAGAAGTCGAGTTATGTAAATCTCATAGAAACCAAATTATGACAAGTTTTTCATAAGAATCAAATTATGAAAATTTTCCAAAGAAGTCGAGTTATGTAAATCTCATAGAAACCAAATTATGGCAAGGGTTTCTCAGAAACTACATGGGGAGTGTAAAAAAAAAAAAACAAAAAAAACAGGCAGGGAATTCAACCCCAAAGACAGCAGCGCCTAAAATTTTTGTCGAAATCACAAGCTCTGTATCACCAAGTCAAGCTTGTAGACGCAATCCTTGCTCATCGAATTGGCGGTCGTTTGTAGTTGATGACCCAAATAAAATTACCAAACTATGAAGAAATGTCATGCGACAAGTCTTCATGAGCTCGAAACACTTCAAGTCGAAAATGAGTTGATAAACAACCGAAAGTCAAATGATCTCTTACAAATTAGAGAATGTTGTCATGAAGACTCTGGTAAATGTTGACATCAACATATCGGCATAGTTATTTCTCATGAAGCTTCAAATGTTTCTTGAAAGATCAACTACGGAAAAAAAAAACATTTGCTTCATAAATACTTCAAGGCTTGTCTTTAAAAGTTCGATAAATCGAGTACCCCAATAAGCCTCGAAGCAGGGGGTATTTGTAGACAGTGAAGTTTTATTGATAAATCCATAC